AGTAAAGTACAGATAACCAAAAATTCTACTTAAGTACAGTAACAAAGTATTTGTACTTAGTTACTTTACAACTCTGATTAAGGATTAGCGTACATTTGGCGTGTGATCATTTTTAGCTTTTCCACAACAAATTTAATCTCAATAAGTCTTAAAATAGCTGAATTTTAGCCGTTTAAAGTTAGCCGCGGTGGCCATCTTGAATTTTTGATTAGCATTTAGAACTGGGTACAGATTGTTTTTGTCTAAAAMTGGCTGAAAAATAAATAGTGACAAACATTCAGCTTTTTTTTCTGAATCACTCCTTGCTGCGATCAAACTAAGTTTAAGTTCATCATTTCTTAAAACAGCTAAATTAAAACCACTTGGAATTAGCTGTAGCGGCCATCCTGAATTTAAAAATCCAGTGCACTTTTCTTTATTTGTATAAAAAAATAACACCACGGCCACCCCCTGTGGCCACCTTTTGCTRAAGAGTCTAGCTCCGCCCCTGGCTTTCCTCAAGCTGCAAACCTGCCATCGTTGCTCAGTTTTCCCTGCAGCCAAAGAAACTTTTGATCTTTTAGCTGCAAATTTGTTTCAAGTGCATATCTTGGCTTTAGATCTGCTCTCTGACAGGGGCTCCTTGTTCTTCTGTATTTGGAAGAAGGCAGGTGGAGAGAAACAAACAGAAAATAAAGGTTTTTGCAGGAGAGGACTTCAGACTCTTATGGCCCCTCAGATCACAGATGTGGTCCTGGTCTGGAGTCCTCCCTGACCACCTGCCAGGTTTCACAGTCCCTCTATAGTCTCAGCCTTGCTCTCATTCTAGCTTTAGTTTTCTTCAGACCCTCAGGTTCCGTGGACCGGGTCTACCTGCCGTCACACGTCTGCGTGCTTTGAACACACGACCTCCTGCTCCACAAATTCCTCCTGCAGGTCTGSTGAGGATTTCTGAGCTGTTCCAGAGACTAAACAAGGGTTCTGCTATAAAACGTTTGACTGCATCAGTAGCATCTTAATAAACCGACATATTATTTATTTATTTATTTGTTTATTTAACACAGGGGCTTACCTTCCTCTTCTGTGACGGGCTGAGGAACCAYGGCGGTGACCGTCTCATCTGCATTCAGAATGGAGAAGATTTGCAAGGAGACTACAATTACAAGAGTTGGCTTTGGATCAGAGAACTTCAACCGTGTCAGATTGTTGCACGTTGCCCGGTCAGGAAAAGAAAAGAGTGGAAATAACGGCAGCAGTGAAACACGTCTCACACGGGCAGGGTGCTGCAAAGTAGAACGGGTGAGTTTCACAGAAAACAGAGGTAGTGGTTTCAAACATCTGTGGGAGAGTTTGTTGTCAGTTACAGTAGAAACTGTCCGTCCTTGATCTCTCTTCYTTTGATAGGAGCTGTCAGAAAATGAGGGAGAAATGGGTTTAATACAAACAAATGAAGATTTTAACCTGTGGGAACAGGAAGACAGGTGAGGGTAAAAACACGTGGGAGGTGTTCTAACTTCGGTCGTGCAAATTGTGTGAAAAATACGCAAAATATCAAAGTGTTTGGAGCAGCAAACGAAAGTTTGAGAGGCCAGTTTTTGAAAAATGACGGCTTGTTTCCATGTGGACAGGTAACAAATCACCATTGTTTCGTTTCCCATCGTTGTCCACGTCGTACCGGCCTCAGATAGGTCTGTACCAGGGCCGGCCTAAAACAATTCGGTGCCCTGGGCAAGATTCAGGTGGTGCCGCACGGGAAGCAGGGGTCATAATGTTGTCA